CTCCCCTGCGACATCCTCACCGAGATCTTCACTTCCGCCGACTCCAACCTATATAGTACGATGAATAAGATTGCACTTGCTTCTTTTTACCTATAAGTTCAGCACCTCATCCGTTACAGGCCAGATATTCGATCCGTAGTAACGTTTGAGGGCGTCGTTGAGGAAGTTGCAAACATCTCGAATTCCCACCGTTATCGCTCCCTGATAAAGATTCGTCTAGTATTCCAACGATTAGAGCTTCATAGAGATTGTAATTCCTACTTCTGCCAATCGATTCAGTTCTTCTACTATGCCTCGTGGGATGTCGGCAAACGACGCGTAGGCATGTAGTACCGGCGAGCTTGGATCTTCGGAAAATCGCAGTGTTATTCCAAGCATCGCCATCTCGGCAAGAAGGTACTGCGCCTATTCATAGCCTTGTTATTGTTAGACGTATCGACCTATTCCTTTTCCAACTCACCGCCTGCACCACATGCTCATGGCATACGTATTCGCGAATACGCAACTTCGAGAGGGAACCCAGAATCCTCCGTGCGGGAATCACGTCTATGTAACCAGCTAATGCTAGAAGCATTAGCAAAATCACATTTTGCTGACGTGATTCAGATGTTCTCCTTGCGGTTACGGCTCGGGTTAACTTGCCGCATGCTACGCAGTTCACCATCTTCGAATGTATGCTAAACATAAATAGCTCATTCCCTATTTCGGTATTCCTCCCTAACGTGTATGAGTATTACTCAATGCTATTACCCTGTGCAGTACCCATACATGTTAGGTGAGCATCAAATCCTTTAGTTGTGTTCAAATTAAATTTTTGACAGACGCCACTTCTAAACTTATTCCGATGAACTTCTAATCATAGGCGCAGTCATCGGTATATGAAAGTTGAACTATTCCTAATATGTTTGTTTAAGATCATATATTTCAAATTCAATCAAAGAATAAGAAAAGAAAATTAAGGAGAATAAGAATAAGAAGAAACATGCAGGAAAGATAAGTGGTCAACCCTGCGGTGAAGTTGTGTTTTCATGAACAAAGGGGGAATTGATTCTACAGTGATCTCCCTTTTAATTTTTGATCCACGTCATAGCCATGTAAAATGATAAGGCTTACGAGACATGAAGCTTGACTGACTTGGAAGAACCGGGGTTAATGCTGTGGGTACATGTTCGCGAGGATAGGGACATAAATGTAAATACGGATATATGCTTCATAGAAGGATCAAGGGTG